GCCATTGGGAAACTTCTGTTAAAGGTCATGGCAACAGGGGTATAGACAGGATCACTAAGGTGTATCAACACCTTCTAAGGATTCCTGAATTCAGAAGAGGCTGGCAGCTTCTTTTAAGGCTTTATGCAGTCAAATTTCTCAGCAATGTGAAGTCTTCAGTGGTGCAGAAGAATTCAAAAAAAGAGAAGAGAGGAGAGGAGGGGAGGAGAGAGGAGAGAGGCTATTTTCTAATAGTACTGAACAGGATTATTAATACAGAGGGGTATTGCAGGTTGATTTTCTGGAAGGTGTTTAATGAGTGTTGGGGGAGGCTCCAATCTTCATTTATCACGAGTTCATATCACTGAGCTTTCCTATAGGTTATATATTCATTCGGGCAAAGCTGTTCATGATTCCTGTGTAGCTGGCAGGACACAGGGACTCAGGCAGACTAATTTGCCTTCATTCATGTGACTAGCTAGCAGCAGACCTGGCACCTCAACGTATTTACTAAAATTGGCAAACTAGGTCCTTTCTGATAGACTGAGCTCCTACATAGCATAAAACCTATACTACTAAGATGGCTAGATTTCTCTGGGAAAGAAGTCCAAGGGTAGGAGTTTCCTTAGCTGGTGCAATTTTGAGACTGAACTTGAATGTGAAAAGCTTTAGGTTTTCTCAACCCATGAAGAGGTTGGATTTGTTCACTGGAGGTAGAGTCTTTTTTAGGTCATCAGGAAATAATGTTCTTTGATGGATTTGAGGTTTTTTTCCTCAGGTATTGTGCCAGACAAGGACACAGTTGACTTGGATGCTGGTGGAGGGTTTGGATTTGAGTGTTCTCTGTGGAGTTTTATCCTGTTAGGGCTGATCAGCACAGGAAACTTGGGGTCCTGTGCACTGTGCCTTCCGTGCTATGCATCTTTGTATGGGTTTCTATTTTGTACTTAATTCTGTATTACAACGTGGTCAAAGCCATCTGCCACCTGTTCTTTTTAAATATAATTTGCAAATGGGAACTTCCAGTCTGGCTCACATTGGGATGGAAAGGCACATCTGGCCCTTTTCCTCCAGGCTCTTATCTACTGCAGTGAACTTTACTCTCCTTGCTTCTGAGGGAGGAGCTTCTCAGGCACAGTGAGCGCCACTTATCCAGCAGATGGCTGCTAAATGCTTACTCTCCCCTCTGCTCTTGCTGCAGCCTCACCATTTCGTTTTCTGCTCAGGGAGCATCTGGGGAACTAAATGAGCCTCTGGGATGGAAGCGAGCAAAGACCCAGGCAAACTTTACCTTTAACGGCATCTCTACAAAGCTGTAGGAACACTCTCCTGCTCATTCATGTGTTTAGCGGATTGCTGTGTTGCAGGCTCTGAGCTGCTGCTGGTCCAGAGGGAACTTATCTTCCCCGGAAGTTCCTCATTGGCATCACTCAGGTCCGAAAGCTGCTGAAATGCAAAGGCTGCTGCTGCTGATCATGGCAGAGCAGGGCAAGGCCCCATCTGTGGGAGGACCTGTTGGCTTCACTCTGTTCTCTGCCCTCAGTGTTTCCTGCCCTCTAGATGCCATCCTTTCACCTGCGAAAGACCATTGGTGTGGTTATTCTCAGGGAGTCTTTGTGCTTTCAGGCTCAACACATAATGTGAGGGCTGGGGCCCATGTGCCATGATGAGCACCTCAGCCAGGAGTGTTCCCTCCCTGGACTGTCACTGCCTGGTGGTTCCTGCTGCCACCTCTGGCTTACTTTGTATGGTTACTGGAAGTGGCAGGCCCTTAGCCAGAACAGACAGCAGAAGGATCCTTAGACAGCAGAGTGTCCTTAGGACACTTAGACTTTAAAGTCAGATCACCTCTCTCTAGAATTTGGTTGCATCATTTTCATTAGTTTTTCTGACCCGAGGTGGTTTTGTGAAGCAAAGCCATACTTAATGTTCCTTTTGTAGCCTCCATGGTGCCCGCCTTTATAGTAGCTGTGATGTCTGTTAGACCGTGAGCTAGACTGGGGAGATGACTCTGTTGTAAAGTGCCTTCTGTGTAACCACAAGGACCTGAGTTCAATCCTAAGAACTTATGTAGAAAGGCTGGTTGGTAGCCTATGTCTATAATCCTAGTGCTGGTGGATAGAGGAGTGGGGGCAGGCAGACCTCCAGAGTTTGCTGGCCAGCCAGTCAGGCCAGTTGGTGAGCTCTGGATTCACGTGAAGACCCCATCTCAAAAATAAAGTGGAGAATGATAGAGGAAGACACCCAGTGACAGCTTCTGAGCTCTGCACACGCGTGCGCACGCACACGCGCGCGCACACACACACACACACACACACACACACACACCATTAAAACTAAGGGTGAAAATTTCATTTTAAAAACTTTCCAATAATATGTGCCTGATTCCTCAGGGAGAAAAACGATATGACTTCAAGAGAATAACAGTGGATGTTTTATTTGCTATTAAGTTACATCTGCTGCGCTCTGCACACCGGGCCCCACACACACCCGCGCGCACACACACACACACACACACACACACACACACACCATTAAAACTAAGGGTGAAAATTTCATTTTAAAAACTTTCCAATAATATGACCCTGATTCCTCAGGGAGAAAAACGATATGACTTCAAGAGAATAACAGTGGATGTTTTATTTGCTATTAATGCACATCCTCTAGCTGAAGAGGACTTTTGTATAAAGCTTCCTTCTGGGTTAGTCTTTAGAAGGCATTTCTTAGGAAGATTCTGTTTCAGTCTTTTTCTTGGTTTTTAGCTAAGGTCAGGTCCTGATGCCCTCTTCTGAGCAGTAAGTCCCGTGAGAGTCATGAGGGCTGTAGGCAAAGGCAGTGTGTGCAGTGCGTGTGTGCAGTAAGGCCTGTGAGAGTCATGGGGGCTGTGGGCAGAGGCGGTGTGTGCAGTGTGTGTGCCACTGCGCAACAGCTCACAAAGCTGGCCGCGAGCCTGTGGTGACTCTCTCTTGGCCTCTGTCTTCACACAGGAGGCAGCTGTGGTACTTCTGCTGTGCACATAGAGGTGGGTGTTAATAGCCTTTTTTCTGTTTGTCACAGCAGAGGTGAAAACCCCCAAGCGCCGGCAGCCATTTGTCCCCTTTGCTCTGCGGAACCACACAGGGTGCACATTGTGGTTTGCCACACTGACCACCACACCCACTAGGTAAGGAGCTTTCAGCCTGCCTTTGGAGCCATCTCTGGCCCCTGAGCCTCCTTGCAGCAGCCTGGCAGAGCAAGGTTGGCCCCTTCTGTGCTTATGCCTGCATCAGGAATTTGCTGTCCTGAGACTGATGGTGGACATTCCAATTCTGCAGTCATGGGGGGGGGGGCAGGTCTGAGTATGCTCACTGAGACCCGGTGTGCTCATCCTAGTTCGTGTCTAAGAGCAAAAGGAAGTCTCCCTTGCTCTCCTTGGGCTTCACACTCTGAGAAAACTGTGTAGCCAGGAAACCAAACATTTCGAGTTTTTCTTCTGAGACTGTTTTGGAAATGTCCTCCATCTTCATACTCCTGAAGAATTGTCTTCAGATCTAAAACACACTTTAACCCAGATGGCATTGGGTGGAGTCCAGAGGACAAATGAGACATTGCCTAAGTTAAATGAAAACCCTTTTTGATGACTCTGCCTGCCTAGCTATTGGCTGAGAGTTCCAAATGCACGGGGACCGTTCCAGTGTCATAAAGTACCCAAAGTAAGGGGCAGTCATCTGCATCCTCCTGCTTCCACTAACTGTGATAATGCTGCAGCAGTGCATTTTCCACTCCAGTTCAGGCTTGTTAAATTGTAGATTTCACAGGAGTGTTCCTTTAGCAAGCCCTGCCTCGGCTTACACACAGTAGACTCACTTCTGGGGTGAGCAAGTAGGTGCTGACAGCTCCTAGCTATTTCTTTTCTTTTTTTTTTTTTAAATGCATTTGTGTGCATGTGTATATGTGTGTGCTTGTGGGTGTAGGTGTGCACGCATGTGTTTGTGTTCATGCGTGTGCATATGCACATATATACAAAAGCCAGAGAATAACCTTGGGTGTCATCTTCAGGAATGCTATCCACCTCCTTTGAGACAGGGTCTCCCACTGGCCTGGAGCTCTTTGATAAGGCTATGTTGGCTAGTCGGTGAGCCCCAGGGATCCTCCTGTCTCCCCTTCCCCAGGTCTGGATTACACTCAGAATTTTTACATGGGTTATAAGGATCAAGGTTGACAAGGTCCTTGTGCTTGGGCAAGTACTTCACTGACATTTTTTAATTAAAACAACTTTAGGGCTGGGAGGTGGCTCGTTCAGTAAAGTACTCGCAGAGGACCTGAATTCGGATACCCAGGACCTTTGCTAACCCTGGGTGTATATCTGTGGTCCCAGGACTCAGGAGGCAGAGACAGGCAGATCTCTAGAACTTACTGGCCAGCTCAGCCAATTGGTGAGCTCGAGTTTAGTAAGAAACCCTGTCTCAAGCAATGAAGTGGAGGGAAAAGGAGGAAGACACCTGATGTTGACCTCTGGCCTCCATAAATGTATGCACAGTACACCACCTATATCCACACATACCACACACATGTGCACCCCCCCCCCACGCACAAACAACAGGGTCTTACTGTGAACCGAGGCTGGCCTTAAACTTGCTATGTTGCTCAGACTTGCTTTAAACTTATTTCCCTGCCTCAGCTGAGATTATAGGTATGTGTGCTACCATGCCCAGCATCAACCTTAGCTGTTTCTAAAAATCCAAGTAACCTGAGACTGAGCATGAAAGGAACTATGGTCACTGGCCTTTCTGGTCCTCCTTAGGTCACAGAGGACGAGGCTGGGCCACCTTGGTGCTGAGAGTCAGCTCTGCTCCTCTGCACAAAGCTCCTGTAGAGACAGCAGGAATGGTAACATGCCATCTGATTTGGTTCCAGGGCTGCGCTGTCTCACAGTGGGAGTCCTGGGGTAGTTCCAGAGGGCAACAGAGCGTTTCTGGATGACACCCACAATGTTAGTGAGTGGCGAGAAGTGCTCACAGGTGAAGAGATCCCCTTTGAATTTGAAGCCAGAGGAAAATTAAGACACAGGTAAAATTAGACTCATTCTTTTTCCTTAAAAGATAAGAAGTGAATTTAAAACTTTGTCCCTAATGTTTTATTTTCCACTTATTAATGATTTAGATGCTTTATTTTTAAAAGATTCTTTGAAAATCATCCTTTTAAATCATTCCTTTTAAAATATAGACTGGCACACCATCTTAGAAGTACATCTCTTTTCTGTTCTCACTTACTGAATGTGTGAAGTAATGACCTCCGTGTCTCACACTCTGGTCATAGATGCATCCCAGCACTCAAGTTCATTGCACTCTGGCCAGTTTTCCACAGTGTGGGGTGAAAGGCTATTCTGAAAGGCTTCATAAAGCATGGTGACCTCAGTCTTAAAATACATATATGCCTTACAGTACTTTAAGGAAGAAGATAGACTCAGGAAGCAGGGCCAGTAATAGAAGGGCAAAAATTCAAAGCAGTGTGGGATTAGTTCTTTGGAGGGCACCACTGGCTCATAGAATCTGGAAGGAGCCAGCGAAAGACTGGAATAAATATGGAAAAAGGCTTTTTATATCTGTTCCCTGAAAGATCATAGACTATTCAATGTGGCTTTCCATTATTTGCAAATGTTTTGAAATGGAAAGGCTGACCACGGGTAGAAATAGAGACAGACTGTGTTTGAGTCTCAGATTGCTATCAAGCTGAGCAGAAGTGGAAGAGAGTGGTTTCAGCCTCCCATGCCACATGCTTCTCACAGTGCCCGGTCTATGTGCAGACCTGCCCTCAACAAAGCACTTCTTCCTCTCGTACGACTTTGTGCTCGTAGTCATTACTCTAGTGGCGAGGCTTTTGAACATGTGGGTGCCAGGGGGCCTTACAGGGGGAACGAAAAGGGTCTTTGTGTGGGACCAAGGTTTCCAGGGGTGTACTATCCCTCACAGGCTCCTAGGGCAGTCATGCAACTGTCCGTGGTATCTGTGAATAGGTCCCGCCTCCTGTCCTAGTGAGGGCTTAACCTTGGTGTTGTTGCCGTTAATTAAAGTTTTCATGTTCTGTCATCCACTTTAGGTCCCACTGTTCTGCCTGAACTCATCAAATAAATGCCTCAATGCCTTTTTTTGGCATTTTCCCCTTGGCTCACTGTACCCCACTCCATGGTGCCCTCCCTGCTTCCTGTCAGCCTCAAACACAGTTCCTCATTTCAGTCCTCTGGGTGGAATTAGGCAAAATCTAAAACAGAATTAGAAGTGCATCTTCCCCCACTGCCTTCTGCTCTGCCCACTGCCTTCTGCCCCAGTTTCAGCTGAGCACTTGAGCTGTGCAGCTCTGAGAGCTCCTGTCTTGCAGGCCCGTTCGTGGTCACCCAGAGCCTGATCCAACAACTGGTCATGGTCCTGGGAGAAGGAGAAGATTCAACGAAGGAGCCAAGAAAAAAACTCATGTATCCCTCAGAGCATGATTATGCAGTTCAGTGTTAGTTCCCTTCACCACCCCACACAACTGATTTCACTGACGTCATTATTTCCTGAAGGTTGGGATGGGGACTGTTGAGGAGAGACCTGGCTACTACTGCACTGGATTTTGCAATGTGTAGAGGGAGGGCAGATGCCACGCTTGTTCTAGCCCTTTGGAGCTCACAACTTGTACCATGGACATAAAAGCCAGTTAAACTGTCCCCTTAATTTCTCTCACATCAGATAATGCCCATGCATTAGTTTTTTGTTGCTTTGATAAAATACCATGACCAAGGCAACTTATAGAGGGAAGAGTTTATTTGGCATAAAGATCTAGAGGAATGAGTCCATCATGGTGGTGAGGCATGGCAGAGGTGACCAGAAAACTGAATGCTCACATCTTCAGTCACACACAGGAAGCAGAGAGAGCAACTGGAAGTGGAGCAAGGCTATGAATTCTCAAAGCCCACCCCAGTGACCCGCTTCCTCCAGTGAGGCCACACCTCACTGGAAAAAAGTTCCAAAGTTCCGTGATGCTCCCCAGACAGTGCCACCAACTGCCCGAGTGACCCTTTAGGGTGGTTCTCATTCAGACCACTACAGCCTGGAAGGTTTAGCTGACCTGCCTTTGTGTTGTTAGACAATAAATCAGATTGGAGTCTCCCCTTCTACTTTCCTTCCCTTCTGAGACCGTGTTCTGTCTGTGTTGTTTGACAGACACACCCATGACCTTCGGATCCATCAACTGCAAGTACGAGTGAATGGTTGGGAGCAAGTGAGCCCTGTGTCTGTGGACAAGGTTGGGACCTTCTTCCGATATGCAGCACCAGACAAAAATTCCTCTTCCTCTATGGTGAGTGGCTGCCACAGAGTGAGCATTAGATGGCATAGTGGTTCATGGCCACATCCTGCCACGCTGGCTATCGTATAGTGAAGCCTGTAATAACTTCACTCTGATGAAGTGCTTTGCCTCCCCTGGTTCTCGAAAGAAGATATCATTTATTGATTCAGTCATGGATATCATTAACATGCAGATAAGCCAGGCAACAGTGATGTCAATAGTAAACAAGAGGGAAGTTGGCAGCAGCACGTTCTGTCAGATAGGAATATATGCTTTGTATTCCATCAGGTGCCTTGATTGGCTGATTATAGCCTGCCACACTTCAGTATAGTCATCCCTTACACCAGTGCTAGAGAGGTTCCAGGACTTAAGCTGTCCACCCCTAGACCCAAATCTTTAGGTGCTCAGGTCGCTTAAGTGGTGTAGTGTTTGCATACATCTGTGCACACCTCCAGTAAACTTTAACTCAGCTGTAGACTACTCACAATACCTAACACCATACCTGTGTTATGGAAATGGTTGCTGTACTGTATCATTTATGGAGTGATGACAAAGAAAAGAATTGGTACATGTTCAGTCAGGTGCGACCATTATAGGCCTAAGTACACGCCACATGATCTGGGGTGATTGAGTCTGTGGGTGTGAGACGTGCGTGCATAGATTGTACCTGACATGCTGAGCTTCTTCATTTGTATACATTTTCATATTATAAGATACTTTGTTGGTTTTTTAGCTCTATGTCCCCAAATCTTTCTCTGTGACACGGGCCAGAGATGTCCGCTGCCATTTATTATCTGATAACGCACTCGCACGCCCTTGTGCTAGTGTTCCCAGCTTGTCCTAGGGTTATAGGGCTAGCAGAGAACGATGAAGCATCTTCCTGCAGCTTTCCTCATAAAGGATATTCTTGGAGAACACTTTTCTACTACTGTTTATTTTCACAGTGGTCTCTGGTACACTCCCTATCTTAAAAGGGGTTGGGGGGGTTGTCAAACCTCTTTTTCTCTAGGTTACTTTTCTGCCTGAATTTATTTCAGGCAGTGGAAGGGCTAACTCTTCCCATATATACTTTTCATTGCGTTGCTGGGTCCTGGAGAAAGTGTGTACTCATCAGATGGTTGTAGAGTGACTGCTGTTTTCTCCATATTGCTCAAGAGTTGATGGTTTACCTGTAGACATGCCATTCTGGGAAGTATTTTCAAACACCACCTTCAAGCAAGTTACCTTGTCACTGAATTTAGTGCTGTCTGTTATCTTAGATCTGTGCTGACTCTCTGACTTTGTGAATCTCCCTTAGATTGGCAGCCCAGGCAGCAGAACAAATATCATACATCCCCAGGTTTATGTGAGTATGATTTTCTGTTATCATTGTGTTTTCTGAGTGTGTACACTGCACCCGAACCATACATCACTGTGTGTTTCCTGATGATCAGAGGTCTTTATGGTTTGTATGTGACCGGAACTTTCCTGCCCTTTTCTATTAATGATCACTTCTTTTCCAAGAAATTGCAAAAAAGAGTTTTCCATTAAGTTGGTACACATTACTGAGTATTACATTGCAGAAGTCTAGTCAAGGGGTTTGGAAGTCCTCTCTAAGTTGAGCTAGCAGTTTACCCTGTACAGGTGTGTTTCATATGCTTGGATCCAAAGGCCAAATCAGGAAATAGGAAGGAGGAACAGTGAGACTCTTCCCCTCCGGCTCTTGAAACATGTTTGGAAGGTGACATTAAAATTTTTTTCCAGGCATTTGCTTTTAATTTCTTATTCCTGAGGATCATAGGTTTGAAATTTCAGGTAGGCCTGGTAGCAACAATATGGAGATTTCAAACAGTGCTCATTGGCCTTGACTTTGTGTGGGCGCCTTTGGGGGCTGAGCGATGGAGGCATGCTCTTCAGTAGTGATTTCTGCCTGCAGTGTGACCTCTTGAAAACAATCTAGAATGGGGCTGGAGAGATGGCTCAGTGGTGTTAAGAGCACTAGCTGCTCTTGCAGAGGACTGGGGTTTGATTCCCAGCACCCACATGGCAGTTAACAACTGTCCGTAACTCCAGTTCCAGGGGATCCAACACCCTCTTCTGGCCTCTGTGGGCATTGCACATATGTGGTGCACTTACATATATTCAGGCAAAACACTCATACACATAAAATTTAAAAAG